ATGTTAAACTTTGAAATTTAATATATGAGACTATTAAAATACTGTCCACTAACTAGTTCATAGATTTTAAAAATAAAATATATCCTACTGTCAAAAGTAAATAAATAATATCAGAGCTTTGAGAGGTTGTTCAGGTTCAGCCCATCACAGACGGATATTGTCATTTTGGATATGATTGCCACGTATCCTGCCAAAGAGGCCAAATACAACATTTCTTTCATGTTTAAAGTGAGGAAAAAACAAAACGCCTCAATGAGAAGGGTCCCTAGAGGAACCTTTGAAGAACTGGGAATATTGCTAAGCCCAGGAAGACAAGAGGGCAACTGTAGGTAGGGTGAGGGAGGGGCGGTTTGGACAGGAGAGCCCCTTCTGAGTGTGGAAGACTTCCTGTGTCCGTGAGGGGCTGAGAGGAGTGTGACAAAGAAATGGGGTGTGTCTGTGGTGGGAGAGGCGGATGTGGGGAGAAAGACCCTTAAAATGATGCTGCAGTTTACTCCAGGACCGCGCGGGCCCAGAACAGAGCCAGAGCAGGTCAAGCGATGACCTCCGGGCAGCTTCCTTCCTTGAGTGGTCTGCCCAGGCCTGCCCAGCAGTGTGGTCTTCTGACAGTTCGCTCTGACTCTTCAAGAATATCATCTGACTCCATTCAGGTCTTCCTAAAACAACTCCCCTCCAGCTCCATCACCAGTGGGGACTTGAAAGCACATGCTGCTGTGGTGGGACCATGGCTTTAGCGTGGCAGGAATAGGTACTTAGGTAAGACCTGGAGGGGGGACTTGGTGATGGGGAGGCGGGGAGGCTGCTGCTTTGGGAGCTTTTTTAGCACAGTGACTGAGCTCAGAAACGACCAGTTATCTTTTTTTTGCCAGAATTACATTTATTTGTTCAACATTAAATGAATGAGTTAAGCACCCACTATGGGTTAGAGACTGCAGCGGAGGCTCAGGATGTGGTAAAAAGGGGGAGAGATGCCAGATGAATCTGGGTAGAATCTGCCTGGGAAGCTCAGCACAGAGTGTTTGAAAGAAGCAGACTCAGGGCGCTGACACACAGCAGCGCTGCAATTTGTTTGGGGTGTCGCAAGGCTCCTCAGAGGGGTTGATACTTAGTTGTCATGAAGGAGTAGGAGTTGGCCAAGCTGGGTAAAGAGCCAGGGAAGCAACCAGTATACCAGAGACTAAAAATGCAGACCCTGGACTGAAATAGTCCTGGATTCAAATGTTAGCTTGGCCCTAGCCAGCTTGGCTCAAGGGTTAGAGGGTTAGACCCTGGACTGAAAGGTCTCGGGTTTGATTCCAGTCGAGGGCACGTATCTCGGTTGCAGTCTCAATCCCCGGCCCCGGTTGGAGGCATGTGGGAGGCAACCAGTGTGTCTCTCTCGCGTCGATGTTTCTCTCTCCCTCCACCCCTCTTCCACTCTTTCTGAAAAGCAAAGGAAAAAAATATCCTCAGGTGAGGATTTAAAAAAAAGTTAGCTTAATCATTTACCAGATTATAAAACCTGAATCAAGTCTTTAATCTCTCTGAGCCTTCACTTTCTCGTCCACAAAATGGGAACAACTGTACTCAGCTCACAAAGAGAATGAAATGAGATGATAGCCGTAAAGTTCTCAGCACAGTGTCGGCCCAAAGTAACCACCTGCAAGTGTAGAATAGGTTATTCTTCAGTCTCTTCTGGGTTTTTTGTTCTGGGTCGTTATGAAAGTGGTAAAATGACACCCTGCAAAACCCCAGCCTTCAGAAAGGCCCAAAATTCAAGAAGGCTCTTGCTCATGGATCTTCAACAGCCCCCTGGTCAGGCAGAGCATGTTGGCGTGGCGCAGTGTGCTAGCACAGTGGAACCTTCTTGTACCTTGGCTTATGAAATCTACAGATAAGTTTACTCCAGTTCTCTCTTAATTCTCCTGGCTCCCTGGCTTTTCAGCATGAGTCACACCTTGTCCGTAACTTAGATCCCAATGAGGAAGAGCTGCAACTCCAGCCACCGTCCCACCCGTCCCGGCGCACCGCCCGCCGAGTGTCCACAGCTTCCTTCCCAGGGCGAAGCTGCCCCTGCCCAGCTACACCTTCCTCATGTTCTTTCCCTGCCCCACTTAGAAAAAAGAAAACGGAGGAGACGGGGAATTCCAGTTTAGTTTAAACAGCGAGGCAGGAAATGACATTTGTTTTCACAAGGAGGAAATTAAGCCTTTTCTGTTACCGGTTAAAGTGGTGCTAATGTTGGCTCAGCCACCCCCTCAGATGTTCACACTGTATTGCCCTGCGGTGTGGAACTTCCCAGGGTGAGGCTCTCCGCCGCTTCTGAAAGCAGCAGCTGCTGGAGAGGTGACAGGGAGCTCAGGACACAAGACATCCTAGGGAGGGGCCTGATAAAGACCTTCTAGTTCCAGGGACCCTTGCTACCAAGGCTGGCACCCTCTGAGGAGAGCTGGTGGGTGGCAGAATAGTTAATAAGATGGTCCAAAGTATAATCTATTTTACTTGGTATGTTTTGGCCTCAGGTTGGGCAGTACGAGCCCTTAGAAGTGTCCCTTTGCTCAGCTGCCCTCAGGACCCATCACGTGGAAAAGTGCCTGCTAATTCCAGCTCTGGTCACACGGGCTAACTATGAACGAGAAAAGGTGGCCTGAAAGAACCCTATTTGAAGGCTGGCGTTACATGGAGAGCTGGTCACTCTATCACTTGCTGCTTTTTTAAAACAAAGAACAGCACTTGAGTTGGGGAAGTGCCTGATTTATCTTTAGAAACAGGTGATATATAAATAAACTCAGTAAATCATAGAATTGGAGGAGATCCAACTGCTCAGAGTTAGGGAGGAAACTTTGAGAAAGGTCAAACCTACAATTTCCTATATGAAACTATCCCTGTGGCAAGAAAGAAGAGTTATAGAAAAATCAACTATATCCCTTTTTTTTAAAAAAAAAAAAAAAAAAAGGGGGGAATTAAATTAAAAGGTCAGTTTTTAAGATTGCCCCTAATTGTAATCACTGTATCTTTTTGAAACCTGAAATACTCCCAGCACCTTACTTTGCAGTAATACCTCCTCTCACGAGCTCTTAAAAGAGCTGTCAACAGGCTTCCGTGAACTTGGAATTGTTCTAATTTCAGCACAGTTTGGAGGCCGAGAAGCTAAGTGCAGCCTTTCAAAGTAGGAGTGGGAGCTTTTCACAAGGGGATCAGACCTCGAACTTTCTCTGTTTGATCTGATCTGCACATTTGAGCATTTGGTGTCATAATTCTATCTTCACAATAGTAAAAAAGGGAAGAGAAACATACTGATATTATGCTAATCATGCTATAGAGGGTTCCGGGAGCAAGGAGATAGGCCTGTGAGCATCCAGAAGTGTGGAAGTTCTGAAATGGTGCAATACAGTCAATCTGGGCAGACACACCAAGCTCTGGCCTCAGTCTCTAGGTTAGCAATGAACCTCCAGCGGGGCGCATGGATGTCTGACGTAGCCTTCTTTCACCCAAAGCTTTTGGGGAGTTACTAAAGAGTTAATGAGTAGACTGATTTGCTTCTCAGCTCTACTCTAATTCCTTTGGGGGATGGGCTAATAAGAACAATATACAAATGGTGAGGGAAATAAAAGGAGAAATGACAAAATAAATCTCCAAAAATGTGGGGCAGACCCATCACCTTTGGGGCCTAGTCCTTGAGAGATGGATGGACAGCAGTCCAGGCAGGTATATTTGGAGAGAACTTTAGCTGGGTGCACATGGCATCTCATTTAATCCTCTGAAAATTGTGGGCGAGAGCAGGGCAGCTCTTCTTTCTCTGTCACTGCAGGTGAGTGTTATACCAGTAGACAGGGTTAAATAGCCCACGGTCACACGGCGAATGATGCTGGAACCACACTTGAATTCACATATTCAGACTCCAGATCTCTGATGCTCTTTCCAATGTGTCTCAGAGTCCTATTCATTTGTTGAAACAGTAAATAATTTCCCAGTGTCCTGAAAGAGTAAGTGGGGTCCCTAACACCAATGTTAGTGCCAAAAAGTCAATTTAACTATAGGGGACAAGAGTGCAATTGATTCTTGGCATTTCTAAGGTGAAATAAAACTGAAACATATACATTATTAGTCCAAAGCTCACACAAAAAGAGTGTTGTGCTTCAAAATAGTAATCTTTGGAAGCAGTATGGTTACTCTTCCAAGGCTACAGGCTCAAAGGGTTGGTGTGTGTTTTTTTAACTGTTCATTAATAGTTGCCTTTGGAAACAGATTTCAAACTACACAATAAAACATTCATGTTACTTTGTGATTGCACCGGGTTAATTCTACCAACAAAAAATACTGTTACCTACCAGACTTGCCCTTGTTTTGATACCAAACTTGACTTTATTCTCCCCAAAATCAAATTCAGCTTTCAAGGATGAAAGCTGGATACACGTCCCAAAGAGGAATTTTTTTTAAATGCTCTGATTTGATGGCATCATTCAGATAGTGCCTCTCCTACCAAGATGACCCTTTTGAAGTGGACACTACCTAATACAGCTCTGCGATTCTGGTTTATTTAGAAAACAACCCCATTACTTTGTAGTAACCCTTCAATAAAACATCCTAAGGCTCCCAGTATTTTGCAAATGATAGAAAGAGGAGGCAGAGCTTATAAGAGAAGAAAACAGGATTCCAGGAGATTTTGAATCTCCTACCCCTGTAAACAGAGCAACAGCAGCAGCAACAGATTGCTGTCATTCCACGGGCAACTTTTTGTTGCAGGGACCACACCCAACCAACTGAGCCACACCAGCCAGGGCTATGGGTGTCATTCTTAAAATGAAAATCAAATATTCTGTGGACTGTACTCTGGTCTCCAGGTCAGCCGAAGGTCTCCATCAATACTGACCATTTACCAAAACCTTACCTAGCACGAAACGCGATTTGGTAATAGAATGAAGACCCCAGCCCGGGTTTGTTCTAGCTCTGACTTCTCCGTGGGAGGATGTGAAGTGAACCCCCTCCTCACCGCCTTGCCTGTGCCTTCCTCCCCACAGGCAGCATCGCCGCCATCACGGTGACCGTCATCGCCACGGTGCTGCTGGTGTTCGGAGTCGCAGCGTATCTGAAGATCAGGTGAGAGGGCTCCTCGCTGCTGGGCTGCGGGCCGGAGTTGTTGTGCCTGCTTCTAAGAAGCACCTTGGCTCTCAGGGGTACTGGCAGGGAAGTGAAATGGCCAGGGGGCTCCACAGTGGACAGGGAGATGGTAGTGTCTGGGCCCTGGCAGAGCAGAAGAAATTGGCTGAAACGCGCAGCGCGGTGCTGTAATGGACCGAGAATGAGCCTGGAGTCGGGAGGGGGCTTCGCCTCTCTGCCCTGAACTCACCCCGCGGCCCTGAGCGGGAGGAGCCGCGTGGCTCCTGACCCTCGAGTTGTCTCATCTGAAAATGGGACACGGGTGGGCTCAATGGTTCCTAAAGATGAAGTCTGCACACTGACGTGTGGATGTGTACCCGGTCTGTAAGGAAGTTTTCACTGGTCCTAAGGAAGGCAAAATGCTGAAAATATAAGAAAAGTGTAGCATTTTCTGTAAAATCGTTTTTCCCCCCTGAGATTATGTCCTTATGTTTTTGGTTTTAAAATGTCTTCTGTTATGAAATGAAGGTGATCACAGATGGTAGCTGAATCGTTACTCTTTTTAGCCAAATAGAAAGTTGCAAGACTCTGTCAGCCCCCACTTCTGTTGTCTGTTGCTCTGTGAAATCCCAAAGTCTCAAAACCACATCACTCACACTGACTGTCCTCCCAGCTGTAAAATGCCAAATGGCAAGTGCCGGTCTTATTTGCCAGTCTGCTCAGTGCCCATGAAAAGGGACAGAAAGACATGTGCTTCCATGGTGAACACAGCCATCTTTACAGAAGCTCCTCTGACCTGTCCCTTCCCCGCTAAAAGCCCCCAGGGGCTTCTCTGGGTACTTGGAATTGAATCCTAAGCCCTCAGGTTGGCCCCCGAGCTCATTCCTGGACCCAGCTTCCTATCTCTTCTCACTCTGTCTCTACTTTTTGACCTCTGAGCTGCAGTCACTCTGGCCGTCTGTCCAAAGCTTACCACATGCCAGGTTCTTGTTCTTTCCAGGCCCCTGGCCCTTCTTGGTCTCTTCCCCTAAAACCCTCTTCTTCTAACTCTTCCTCCTGTGTGGCTTTCATGGCACATCCTCCGGGAGACTTCCCTTCCAGTTTGGTTCCTGTTATTAATTCTCTGATTTTTATTCTGGCTGTTATCACTGTCTGTAACTTCATTTGCTTTTTATATATTTCTTTGTTTGTCGTCTCTTTTCCCGACAAAAAATGGAAGCTCCTTGAGGACCCAGACTTTATCTGCGAGCAAGTGCTGGGCACAAAGAAGACGCTCGATAAACTCAATCGGTGAACCACTGAACAGGAGAGGGCAGTCACTCAGGCACTGTCGTGCGCACTCACCTACAGGCCCACGGACTTCTCGTCTCAGCCCTGCTTCTTCCTCAAGGGCGTGTGCACGGCCTGTTTTTCCCTCCTGTGCTGGTTGCTCGTGTGGAGCTCAGCGTATTTAATTTATCGCCCCTATGCACACACCCTGCCCACACCAGTGCCCATGAGGGTGCTCCCCCTTCCTCCTTCCCTTTTATCTCCCTCCACCTTTTGTTCTAATGGGGACCAACTCAGTCTAGTGACTGTGTCAAGTATAAGAGTGCCCCGTAATATCACCTGCAGCTAAGGTACAAAGAACAGGAAAGCCAGGTTTGGAAGAGAAATTGGAATTAAAGGGCCAGAACTACCTGTGTTTAAAAGCCTTTTATAAAAGCATCCTTAAATCTCCTTCATATTTTTTAAGAGAAAATCTTTCTCTTCATTAAGTCTATATTTTCTTGAGCAGCAAACTTAATTTTATGAATTATATCTTACCGAATGGCACTCTTTTTCATCTGGTTTAATTGCCAGTTTATTACTGCAGATATGCTGTCTTTTAATTATCAGTTAAATTGGCTGTTATGAACTAGCCTAAGAACTTCATTCCCACTTTATAACAAAGTTTCTCTTTTTATTGGGGGCACTCAACAAAAGGGACTTACGGATTAATTTAGAGTCATTCTGGAACCACCACTGGTGAGTGTCTGAAGGGCTATGTCCCCAAGAATACAACCTCCACTGGAGTGTGGCTTGAAATAGAAATTCTTCTTCTTGCCACACACTTGCCAAAAATAATGTTGAAATAACCTAAGGACTCTTCTTGACTTCAGGCAAGAATTCAAGTTAACCATCTCAAACCTCCCACCTACTAGACAGGCAGTCTAGAACAGTGATTAAGAATTCAGACTCCACAGCGCTAGACCTCGATTTGAATCCCAGCTCTACCATTTTGGAGCAGGTTCTAGTGTGACCCGAGCACATTACAGAGCTTCACTCACCCTCACTTCTCTCCCTTGTAAAATAAGGGCCATAATTTTAACTCCTTGCTAGCACTGCTGGGAGGATTATTGGATACTGCTTCCCGAGTACATAACCCTGCCATCATCGTCACCATCATCATGAAAGTGGTCAACTGGAAGGGACCCCAACAATAGCACAGTTGCTTGATGACAGTTCTGAGTATTAGCCATGTGCAAGGCACCCTTCTGAGCATGGGAGCAGGGTGATCACATCAGTGATGAGACACAGTCCTGCCATCTCAGAACTTACTGTGTTTGGAAAATTTTCTTAGCAGGCCATTAAATCGGCCCTAATGAGTGCTGATTAAAATTGTATAACATTTCATTTTAAAAATTTAAAGTATATTTTTCTCAAGGCATTCTCAACACTAGATAGATGTGGTGAGTGAGCTGAATTAGTCATGGTTTCTCTCCCCCTTATAGGTCCTCCCTCTAAAATGGAGGAAGGCCCCCAGTGGTAGAAGGTTGCTGTTCATCTTCGGCACTTCCAACTAAAGGACAGATAACGTGCTCAGAAATCTGTCTAGAAACCCCCTAAGGAAAACCCCATTCTGTTGCTGTGTTAATTATTTGGGCAAAATAACATAAGGAGGTTAATAACTATCATGAATCTTAAGACTGTGCTAAAACCCCTTCAAGTGTTGTTTTGCCAGATTCTTGGAAAGCCCTGCTAATCATTCATCAAAAATACATTTGGCTCAGTTGACGTGTGTGTGGTGTGTGTGTGTGTGTGTGTGTGTGTGTGTGTGTGTGTGTACCTAAGGCTGGGTTTTGCCTTGGCTGGAAATTTATTTTATTTCTATCGTCCCAGATTTCTGAGAACAATAACATGGCAAGAGATCTGCTGTCTGTGGTCATTTAGCTCACTTGGCTAGAGTAGCAAGTGACTGAAATCACAACCCATGAGGGAACCATTAGCTTCTGGCCTGAAACACGGGTTATGTCCCTACAAATGCAAAAGAAGAGTCCGCTTGAGAGAGCAGCCTCACAGCCAGAAAAGGGCTTGCCGTGCAAGCTCTGCTAGCAGTGTCTTAGTAGTTCCACCTTTCTCCCAAGTTCCGCTTCCCTCTGAGGCATCAATAAAGTCATTAGCCATCCGTTTTCACACCCCTATTCTTTGTGGACCGTGACCCCTAGTTTTGTGGCAGTGCTCCCTGCTGGAGAGCCACATATCTCTGATACCTAGGCCACTTTCGGATGCAGCTTCCAGAAATGAACTGCTCTGAACCTTTCAGGGCTCTTCTCTACTCTCTGTCGACCCCCCTTTTAGCCAGCAGCAGCGTGGTATGGAGGGAGGAACGTGGGCTTCGTGATCAGGTTCTGCTTACCATTGAGGCAAACTGCAATCTCCCTGACCTTTAATATTTCATCTGCAAAAATAGAGCGAAGAGTGCCTACCTTTCGAGCTTGCTTAGAAGAGGAAGTAGGAATGGAGAGCCCCCGGAGAGGCCAGGTAGCGTGGGGTTAGGAACACGCACCGGAGGCAAGGTTACTGACCACTCTGCGCAGTTTCTTCCTTTTAAAATGGCACTGTACAAACCTAACTCAGGACTGTAGGATTAAATTATGATGCAGATAAACTGCGTGCTGGTTATGACATGAGGGCGCTGGAAGGACTAACTACTGTTGTTGTTAAAACAATGCTTACTTGGGCGCTTAGTAAAACGGTAACCGCCCCCAGTCCCATTCAGTAGGCATCAGGGGCCCAAAGGAGAGGGGGTGCCAGGAGGAGAAAGATGGCAGAGCAGCTCTGTTTTCTCATGTTCCATGTTGGAGTTTCAATTGTGCTTCTTCGAAATGCCTGTGAAGTTGCATCCGGGCTGTATGCTCCTAAATAGAAACTATCTCTGAGCAGTCTTTATTCCAGGACTTGTCTGCAGCTCTAAAGGAGAGCAGAGGCCCTGCCTGCCTCTTGCAGAAGGGTGTCTTTAATTAGTGATGATTGAAGAATGAAGTAAGTCGGTTTTGTTTAGTTTAAATTGGCTCAAACCCGGTCAGCCAGGAGATAATCCCCTGCGAGGAGGCCGTGTCTGCTATCGCCAGCAATGTGGACGCTGCTATAATTAGGCGTGCTGGTAGCCCAGACAGGCAGGACGGCTGTTCCCTCACGGAAATAAATGTGATGTTGATTTATAGGCTCCACAGGGCCTGGCTCTGGAGGCATCTTGTTAGAAGGCCCCTGTTTTGCTTTCGGACTTCGGTGGTTATATTTTATATAACTGGTCTCTTTCTGGTTGTTGTTAGGTTTGAAGAGTAGGCCCAGCCAATCATAAAGGCTAAGGTTTCCTACAGTTTGTGATCTACAGGTTGCCTTTTTCAGATCAGCTCCGCCATTCGGAAGGTCTAGGTGACTTGATTCTCTACTTCAACCTTCAATGTGCATAGGAATTAATGGGAGTTTATTTAAAAAAAAAAAACAGTTTCCTGGGTCTGAGCCCCACAGGGTCTACTTCAGGAGGTTGGGTGGGGCCCGTCACCGGCATCTCTCACCAGCTCACAGGTGGTGCCAGGCTGCTGGTCTGCCAACCACACTGTCAGCTGCTGTCCCCTCGTCTCGTCTCGTCTCGTCTCCTAACACTCCAAACACAAGCTTCGCTCTAGTGTTTCCCAGACAGGCCGCCCTACTGCTCCATGCCGGCTACTTAGAGGATGCCGAGCCCTCTGCTGGAG